TATCATCCATGTGTTACAGATGAAGGAACAGATCCATAGAGTTGAAGTGGCTGGCCCAATGTCACACAGCTAATAGCATCAGATTCAGAATCTGAGCTCAGGTTTCTCCAGACTCCCAAGTCCAGCACACTGTCCTCTATGCTGTTGAGCCCCTCTCACTCACATTGTCCTCCTTGGGAACAGACTCCAACTTGTCACCCCACTTCTTCTAGAGGCTCTCTCCTTCCTAGGCTTTTCTGACACTTCTCCATTATGTTTCTCTTCCTATCTATCTGACCACTCCTTTCTAGGTCTCCTTTGCAGAATCATCAGACATGCCTAAGCCCTCTGATCTTAACTCTATAAACTTTCTCTGATTATGTCACTTCTCTGTTCAAGAAGCTTAATTGGCTCTCCATTTCTTCTAGGATAAATACATACTCTTCTGACCATCTTTTACCAGCCTTTATTCGTAGACTGATTATATATTTCCCTTGCTCACACCGTCTATGCTCCTGAAAAATTGGCTTACTTGGTGTTTCCCACACACAGCATTTCATTTCCTGGCTCTTGAGTTTTTATCCCTCATGCCTGAAATTTCTCCGTAACCTTTGCCTCTTGAAGCATCTAGTTCACTTGGAAGGCTCAGCTCAAGATCCACATTTTTTATGAAGTACTTCCTGATTCCCTGCTCTGAATCACTTTGGATTTATTTTTAATGTATCTCATATTTACTTGTCTGTGAAGATCTTATACCATCAAAGGGCAGTGGAAGTTTCTTGAAGGAAGGAACTGTCTCTTCATTACCACCAGTACCCAACACACTGTTGGACACAGAACAGGCAGTGCTTGTCCTGCCCAGAACTGATTGCCAGAGTTAATCTGAACAGAATACAATGAAAACTCGCTTATCCTGCACACTTCTCATCTGTTAATATGGCCTAAGATTACATCTGATCTTTGGGCAGCCATGGCCCATAGTTGGCTCCCAGCAAGCTTGTAGTTCTTTGAGAATTCCAGTTCTCTTCTCCTGAGCTGTCTAGACACATCTCCCTATCTTCTACTTGTGCAGCTAATTTTTAGACTCTAAGTATGGCGCTTTTCACATGTCTCTTTTACTGGAGTTGGCCCAGTGCTCTAGCCTGTCTAGATTTAAAAAAAATTCTTCTACTCTCTTCTAACCTATTAGCTAGCTTGCTCAGTTTTGAGCCATCTGGAAATTTGATAAGCATTCATCTAAGTCACTGATAAATGACTTCTTCTAATGACATTGGTTATAATGGAGTTTTATCAGTATTTATGTTCTGCTGGGCATCAGTGACAGACAAGGAACAAGCAGGCCTTCATAAGGTAATCCTTTAATACTGCAAAAACACTCAGGGCAAAGCTCTATCCTAGAAAGCACTATTATATAATAATAAGTCAAATATAGCAAAAAAACCCAAAAAACAAACAAAAAAAACCCCCAAAACACTAGTAGGAAATAGTAAGAAATGAAGATAATAAACTTTGAAAGATCAGCACTTCCTTATCCCCCAAGGCATAAATAACATCTCTACCCCACTTAATTAACAATGATTTAATGAGCAAGAGGGTGATACCTTTTTTGCTAGTCTATCTCTGTATTATACTAGTAGATAAAGAAATAACAAGGTACTCAGTCTACTTCAAGAGTTGTAGAGGTCGGAGAAGAATAATTACTTATTTCATTTTGTGGTTCTTGGGAGTTTGGCTTAAAAGTCAAGGCCAGATGGCTCTGGAGGGTTTGCTATTAATGGTTCTGCTATTTTCAAGTCACCTTGGGAAGTACACTTATACAAGTGATCAAAACAGTGATGTCACACCAGCCTATTGGCTTTGTTACACAGGCCTGGGGATCTTAATTATAATGGCAGGAAGACATCTCATTCAGCTACACATTTCCTAGAAAAAATTAGCTCCTGTGATAAAAATGAATGAAGAATATGTGCTGACATAGTCTCATCAAGCATGTGTTTTTGTCTTATAAATCTTCATTTAAGTCTGGATGGAGACAATAAAGGCAATATTGACATATCACCTCATAAGGAAGTCAACAGGACTGGTTCCTGCTATTAAGCACAGAATGCTATGGTAAGCAATTAGAAATATGACAAGACTTAGTGCCCAATCTCCCAAAAATGATTTCAGGGCATCTTTAATAGTTCCTGCCACCCCTTTAGGTGTAGCATTTTCCCAAGGGTGATAAAACACATTGGTAAAAGAGTAGAAATGCAATTCAAATTAATCATTTGAAGCACCTACTATGTTCAAGGCATCATCCAGTATCTGGCAATCTGTGTCACAAATAATTGATACAGAGTTCTGAGGACTACAAAAGAGGTTTATGATAGAAATGGGGAGCTCTGAGGTATTACCTGCTACCCAGCAAATTGCAAAAATGACAAAAATGGAAATTGCTAGTGTGGAGGGGCTGTAGAAACACAGTAACACTAATATACTATCAGTGGAGTTGTGAATTGCTCTGTCCACTCTGGAAAGGAATGTGAAATATGCTTTTTTTTTTAAAGTGACTAAAAAGACCTGTCTTTTGATCTAGAAATCTCACTGTTAGACATTCACCCCAAGGAGGTAAAAGATAGAAAGAGATAAACCATACACAACAAAATATTCACAGCAGGACTTTTTGTGGTAGCAAAAAACTTAAAGCAAAGTATATGAAAATGATTAGAAACTGTCTAAGGAATTTGTGGTACATGAATGTAATGGAGTATTATTGTTTTTTAAAAAATGATTCATACAAAGAACTTGGATAAGTATAGGAAAACTCACATGAACAAATGCAGATTGAAGTAAGCAGACTCATAAAAATAATACACACAAGACTATAGTAACATAAATTGAAAAATAACAAAAAGTCCAAGTGAACACTATGTAATTATAATGACCAAGCTTGACCCAGAAAAAAGAGCTAAGACATTACATCTCCTTCCCTACTTTGCAGAGGTTGGAAACTATGGGTGTGGAACATAACGTATACTATCAGACACGGCTGATGTGTTGTTTAGTTTTATTGACATGCTTTTATTTCCTCTTTCTCTTTGCTATTTGTTATAATGGATGGCTTGCTGGGGAACAAAGGGGGAGGTATATATTTGGAGATGAAGTTGAGGTCAAACTAAAGGATATCAATGAAAAGAAGATAAATAGTGTTTGGTTTGTATGAGATGATTTTGATGGTCCCTTACAAATCTGATTCCATGAATATATGAGTCATTAGAAGGTGTCTAATACAATTGAGGAGTTCTTCCCCTGTAGTGATTCTGCAAAATCAATATGGAGTCATGACTAAGGATTCTTACTCATATCTCATGGAAAAATAGGTGCCTTTGGTGGGTTAGATCAAATAGCTTAGCACGTGCTTCTTGGATTTTCAATATTTGAACCAATTCCAGGCCACTAGGCATAGCTTCAAGCTAATGCTCTCATCCTAACAATTTCTGACTGTGCTAAGCATAGCGAGTCCAAGCTAACATGGCGAGTGCCTTCCGAAATAGCAATGGAATTTACTCACAAAAGTCAGCCTTTCTGGGGTCATATCGGTAGATCATATTCATTGACCAACTCATGTTGATGGATTATGATCTAGATCTGGAGGTAGAAGGAACTTCAGAGGTCAGCTAGTCAACTCTTTCAGTTTACAAATGATGAAACTGAGGTACAGAAAAGTTCAGTGGCTTGTCCAAAGTCATATGGGTAGTAGGAAGTGGCAGAGCTGGGATTTCGCTCAGCCCTCTTTCACTGCACCACAGTACTTGAGAATGGTTTTAATTATTCAGGCATTTTTTTTTTTTGGCTAGACACATCCCACCATGTAAGGAAAGACAAGTGTTAATTTGGGGATATTGTGCAACTGATTGTATGATTCGATCAGCCTAGAGTGATAAGTCAGAGCCATCTTCTAACACCAATGCTTCCAGCAGAGTGGTATGACATCAACTGGAATTTGTTATGGGATTTCAGCATTTGTGATTATTCTTCTAGGCTTACAGACAAGCATGGAGTCTAAGGATTGAGCAAAATTGCCAGTGTTGTACCTATGAGGATACAATTATAAGGGAGGAGGCTTTTCCTTAAAGAAGATGTAGAGAAAGAGTCCATAAGCACATGGCATTTGGGACATGGCCATCTTTTAAATTAACATAAGAAACCTGCTTATATGTGGGTGAAAGAACTCTCTAATAATACTAATCTGCCACAGGTGCAAAGAGACTTTGACTCATCCTGAATATTTCTATAGAGCAAAAGGAAAGTAAAATAAATATGTGTGTACA